TTTGGTTTATCGACAATAAGACCGAGTTCCTGTTTAAACCTAGCTTGAATTTTTTTTTAGTCTCAGCAACAATGTCTTGATTTTCTTTTCCACGCGCTTGCCATTTCTTTATAGGTAATTTATAGGAAATGTGTAAAACACATTCAATAAATCGAATCCAAGTGTGCAGTGTTGACAAACCAAAGTCAAAAGAATCTTTTTTAATTTCAGCTTTTTTTGTCTTTTCTATGTCATTAAAATCTTTTGATGTTAATCCGCAAATACAACAACGCTGTGTAGATGTCGTGGCTGCAAGTGTATTACAAATGTTTCCGTCTACCATGGTAAAACGTAATTGGGGAGTATTTCAACATTCACTTCATCCATATAATATTTTGTAGGTTTTAGTTCTTTTATTTGTGTTTCTATGTATTCTTTCTCCGTTTTTATTAAGTCTGTTGTTTCGTGTGCAAATTGAAACCGAATAGGCCTGCAAAATCTGATGGATGAGCGTTTGTAATTTTGCCATACATTCATTCATTGTCAAACGTTACGGTATCATTGATGCAATAAAAATGTTGGCATTTGAGGCTTCCGGGTTCGACCAAAATTTTTGTTTATATTGTGCTTGGGACGATCCATCAAATCCCCATTTTGAAATTAAACTAAGTTTGCTGTCTATTGATTGCAATAGATCTTGTTATCCTGCTAAAATACGATTTATTGTGTGATCCAACAGTCTTTGCAATTTCACCGCTGCCATTGTTTCCGAAACAATTATATATTCTTCTAGTGGATAGCACTCTTTTTTTGCAAGTTGAATTTCTTTATAAAAAGGAAATCGCAATGGATCTTTCCGACGTATTTTATTATATTGCTCTTTAGTCGATGCTCTTTAGGCATCAACAAACAAAGAAAGTGCTTCGCTTCGTGCAAGTTTTTGAGGAATTACACCTTCTAGAGATTTTCGGTATGCAGCCTTGTACCTGCATCGTAAAAGTTATAGTATAAAAAAATGAAAAGAAAAGGTTTTTGCAAACAACTATAGTTTTTAAGCCAGATGAAAGAACATCTAATAGATAAGTTTTTATATGTGAGTTAATAACATCTTAATTAGGTGAATGAACAAAACAACTTACTTGCTGGCTCGCGCTGAAGACGTGGTTGTTATATCTTTCAGTACGCTTGCAGCATCGCTCAATCCGGATGAACGAAGACTCATCTGTGCCGCATAAGCCAGCTCATCAGAATCATGGGAAGCACGTATTGTTTCTGTTTTTTGACGTTTTGATCTTTCACATACATCCGCAAAAGATTTTGTTGGTCTTCCTAACTTTTTCTACCCCGTTTCTTCACAATAAATAGCAAATCCTATGGAAGTATTTAGCCAATTCTCGTTTTCTTTCAAAAATCTATCTTCTTTTCGTTGAGATTTATGCCATCTACTTTTAAAATCCGATGCAAAATGAGAAAGTGTCTTCTTCACTTTTGGAGTAATATCCATATCCATAGGATATTTCGTAAAGTGTTTGATGTACTGTTTCACCGAGTTTAGTTGTTCATCCAAATTTTTCTCATGAGAACCCCTCATTTCGTAAACGAGAGTACGTCGTAGCACAGAGATAAATAAACCGGATGCTAAATAATTAAACAAAATCGTTTTATAGTATACTGTCTTTTAAGATGAATATTTTGGAACACATTAATTTATTCCCACGTTCATTTTTAAATTGAATCCTTTTAAACAATAAATTTAAAATATAGCGATAAGTATATTTTGAATTAAGTAGGTATCTAACATGGCATTATTAATTATAGCGTTGCATGTTGTTCCATAAGAAAAGCAAGTAGTTATTTGCAAATATGCGCAAACTTCTTTGATTGATTATGAAACGATATTAGTCACTTTATGTTATAGAGGAAAAATTTTGAACTGATATCATCTGGAAGGTTATCACAAGTTAATCTTAACATTTTCTTGTACGTTAGTACTTACAAAATTAAAATTATAGTAAAAAGGTAAAGAACTAACTAAACTAGGTTGATTTTCCATCGCAAAATAAATAATAATAATAAATTGCCGCACGAAGAAATTATATAAAAATATTTTATCTACGGCTGCTTGGATAAGTCATCATTACCGCACTCATTTGAGGTGATTTGAGTTACGTAATGAAGTTTATTACCGCACTGGTTTCATTACGTAACGCATTTTTAGCCTAATCAGAACAGACTTAATTTATTGAAACGAGCAACAATACAAAAGAAAAAGTGCTATCTACTTACAGAGAAACAATACTATTTATTATAAACATTAATTGTTATGGTTTTACATTTCAAAACACTTATTCCAGATGAGTAAACATGTTGTTGAAACTGACAATTCAAAATTGTCAACAATCATTTCAAAATATTTTTATAAATGTCAAATAGACTTTTTTAAAGAAATTGATTTTTTAGTAATTTTTAGCAGTCGTAGATAAAATGCTGTACTCGTGTGATTACACGACTCGGTCTACGACCTCGTCGTGCAATTCTCCACACTCGTACTGTAATTATGTTTCTAGCCCACTTGTAATATAAATAACTATTTTAAACCTCTATATAATTTTTACTAATTTGTAATAAGTCAAGCTTTCTACCGTTATATTCGGAGTACCAGCCATCGCTTTTATATTTTTATAGTTGAATAAGTTAGTAGAGTATATATACCAGCATGTATACCATAGAAAATTGGCCCTAATTATAAATTATATTTTTCGATTTTTTTCCAACTTTTCATTGCTTTGGTCCCACTTGGAGCGATTGACATAATTAACCTGACTGTATAATAGCTCATTATATGTGGGTAGGATACTATACTTTGTCCACGACTACTATTGAAATTGATTCCATAAATTTATTTTTTTAAATAAATTTTTGAATAAAGTTTAAACGTCAATGTGACACAAATTCAATGTTACCAACTGTAACCAACTTCACAACAATTTGTCAAAATTAATTAATTAATGTTAATTTTATGAAATGTTATGTTTTTTACGAAAATTAATTAATTTATGCTTAAAGGTGAGTTTAGACATGCATGGATTTAGTTGCGCCAGTTCTATTTGCATGCCAGTAAAGGTTTACACTACATGTGCGAAAACAAAAATAAGTGACACGCCAATTTCATTTTTAAAGTGTATTGCACAGTGCGCAATATGTCGAGGAACTTTGCGAAGCATGTAAAGTAGTCGGTAAACTTTTAGTGCAAAAAAAGATAAAAGAAATACAGAAAAAGAATCGACGAAAAGGTCGTGTCTGGGTTAAACCGTGGATTAGTCGTCGACCTACTTTGGGTGCTTCTACAAAATTTCTACGAGAACTCGCAACAAAAGATACTGCAAGCTATAAAAATCACCAACGAATGACAAAGCAAAATTTTGATACTCTTCTGGATTGTGTTCTAATAAGCACTACTATGTACATCTCATAAACACGGAAAAGATTCATAGCCTTCACTGTATACACTACAATAAACACAAATTAGGACCTCAACCGAATCGAAAATCTAACTAAAAACTGGCGAGCCGATGTGCAAGCATTTGTTTACACACGCAAATTTTGTTTTGCTGCACGTATTTGTCATCACTGGCGCTAGTAATTTCAGAAAGGCGCAGACTTTTCCGATCCATGTTTGCATGATTTGAAACTTGCATGCCAGTTGATGTTTACACATGCAACTTAATTTTACTGGCCCGCCACTTTTTATTGGCGAAACTAAATCCATGCATGTTTTTTAATGTCAAACCTTTAGAAAATCCTAAGAAAATTAAATTTAATTGACGTTTTTTGAAATTTTCACAATTCAAATAATTATTCAAGTCTGACAAGTTGATTACCCGTGAATAATGATGACTCACCCCTATTATTCGCTCTGTGAAAAATGACTACCCTTTTGTTTTAGAAAACTCATTTATAAGGTATATATTATAAGGTAGTCGTGAACAATAGTATATTATTATATGAGCATATAATAAGGGCTATTATTCACGAAGGTTAAGTTTATGTCACGAGCGTAGCGAGTGGCATAATTAACCTGAGACTTTGTCCACGACTATTGAAATTGATTCCATAAATTTATTTTTTAAATAAATTTTTGAATAAAGTTTAAACGTCAATGTGGCACAAATTCAATGTTACTAACTGTAACCAACTTCACAACAATTTGTCAAAATTAAGTGTCAGTTTTATAAAACGTCGTTTTCTTTACGAAAATTAATTAACTTATGCTTAAATCACACGAAAAAACGAATTTGTTTAGGTTTTTTTAATGTCAAACATTTAGAAACTCCTAAAAAATTGAATTAAATTGACGTTTTTTGAACTTTTAACGTTTCAAATAATTATTATTAGTCTGGTCAAGATGGCTACCCGTGAATAATGATTATTATTCACCGCTATTACTCACTCCGTGAAAAATGACTACCATTTTGTTTTAGAAAACTCATTCATAAGGTATATATTATAAGGTAGTCGTGGACAAAATAATTTATTTAATAACAATTATATTTGACAAGTTGATTGAATGAATTTTGAATGAATGAATTTGAATTAATTTTTATGACCGATTATAAATAATAATTATTTTATGTAGCAACACGATTTGTTTTTACATGTCGTGTGCACAGCATGCTACACTTGCTGTTCATTTTGTAAACGTTTTTTTGTTCTTTTGCTAGCGTATGGAAATCATCCCATACGTTTCTGAAATGTTTGTATTCTACTGGTAATGTCGACAATAATTTTGTTATTTTCATGTCTTCACTTATGTCACATGTAAATTTTCTTAGTTTATGTGTTAAATTTTCAATTTCTGCAATGTTACTTGTCATGCCTACTTTTTTTAATCCACTAACAGATATCTAAATAAGGTTTTATGTGCACCATGATATATGTCTTTATAATCAAATGTAATTGTAATATTGGAGCCGTGAAGATCGAGACATGTCTAGTTATCTGTTTATTACCAACGACTAATATTAGCCCTAAATAGAATAACATTAATTATAAATAGTTATCATACACAAAGCATAAATGTTTGCGGTAATTGATAAATCACATTTAGGTAAAAGATGATAGATATTTGGCTCATTTGCTTATTCACACGAAGGTAATAATATATGTATACTACAATGATATGTGAATATCTCGTTTGTTCAAAATTGAAGACTTATTTGCTTACTCAGGAATTATTTTTATAGAATTATTATGTGATTCACATCTTTATACTTTTATTTGTTTACCAAAAATAAAGTAATGTGTTTGTAGAGTACATTTTTATTAACATTAAATCCTGAACAAAATCAAATTAATATAAATAACAAATAACATATAATATTACAAAATATTCAAAATTTAATTGAGACATTGAAACAGCGCGATTCTTTTTTGTCTTTTTACCTTTTATCTTTTGTTTAGATTTTGTCACTTTTATTCCTGCTTTTCTAGCCGAATTTCGTGCTGATTCGAGTACAGTATCTTTTGGATTCTTTTCCCTTGTTAAAATAAATAAAACTCCTTTAGCATGATGCTCAGGTTTAGAAAGGCACCAAGTTGACCATGTATTGTAATCAGTTCCGATCGCCCAAGCACTGTGATTTTGTTTACCGCGCACCGATTCAAACGTAAATTCCGAAGAATTTTTTATTTGATGTGTTTTGTACATTTCAATTTTGCTAACGGTACTTGATCTATTGAAATCCATTAATTCGGGAAGGATTACACTTGTATTCCTTTTATCAGATGTTAAACTGTAAAGTACATATTTTCGTGAGATTTCATCACCACTCAGATTTCCAATATCAGGACCATACCAATTGCCAGCTAACTATTAAATAGAAACTGGTTTAAAAGATATCAAAATATAAATTAAAACAAAAAATTTGTGTTTACTCTTTCCATATTAATGTCTTTAAGTAAAGGTATTCCATGGCATCGTTTATTTTCTGCTTCCGTGGAACTATAAACCTTATTAACCATTAAAAGTACTAATAACAAAAATATGGGAAAACTTATGGACATGTTTTCTGTTAACGTAGAAAATCATTTGTTAGTTTTGTAAAAATATAAACGATATTTTATATGCGTAATTTTCAAAGGATTTAATTGGTTGTTATCAATGGTATTTTTACTAATTACAAAATGTTGCTAATCCTAGAGTAATTGGGTTTTCTTTTGTCGTTTTGGTTCTAATCTACATAATTGCAAGCAAGTATAGAATTTCAGTATAGAATTCACCGTAGACGACACTGTGAATTTAAAATTTAACGATCTAGTAACAGCCTTTTTAATAACTCTAAAAAGCTTTTCAATTTGATAAGCTTTTTACCATTTTTGTCAAATATTTATTTGTTTACTAAACAAAAAATGAAGTATGTAATCACAAAAATGCTTTCTCCTATACTTGCGAAGCCTGAAAAACTGCCTCTGAAACATGTACGGATCTATACGAAGTCAATTCGAATGCTCAAATATCCCTACTTGAAGAACTTAATAAATATGAAATAACACTTAAAGTAATATATAGAGACCGGACTAAAAATCATTAAAAACGCAGAAAAAAGGCATTGAATTTTGATAAAAACAAGTCATATTTTTTTCTAATAAGGCATAACTTCCAAAAAAGGCATAAAAAGTAATAATAATTAATAATCTTTATTATCCCAACGGATTACAATCCAATAAAGAGAATGTTACAATAAACAGATAATTGATTCAAAAAAAAACAAACAAACAAAATAGAAAAAAAATGAAAAAAAGTGTCACGCGACTGAATTCGCTGTAATAATTAACATTATTAACAAAATAATGTGCTAAACTTTATGCAGTGGCTGTAATCTCCATAGTATGTACAGTGTGTTCCCAAAAGGGAACGGTTTCCTCCTTTGTTGCCTAGAATACTGTAATATAAATAGGTGTTATGCGTATAAGGGCATTAACAGCACAAGAACACTTATTTTTATTTTTGAATCTTAAAGCAGAAAATAACAACGGAATACAAAAGTTAATCACTGCTATCGATGTAAGAATAAATAGAATCTAGATTTTTGAATGGTATTGTTCAAAACAATAACTTTTATCTAACCCCTATAGGAAATGTCAGGTTTTACATGTCTTTTTGACGTTTTGTAACGTCACATTTTTTACAACTACTCTTTTATTACATAAGTTATGTAATGAAATTTTACGTAACTGAATATATATGAGAAAAAATACAATTGTAACTTTATTGATTTCTACATTATAACTGTTAGTTTGTTTGAATAAACATTAATAACAAAATTATTCCAAACGCAATTATTAAATTTAAGATCTGAAACTAACGGATTCACATGTTCAGTTGAAATATGTACTTGTTGCTTATCCATCGACTCGGATCAAATTAGTTTAATTCTACCTCGGAATGTTGTCCAAATTTCTATTCACCATGTTGTTTAATTTTTAATATATCAGCACCTGACCGCCAATAATGATGCAGATGATCGTCGAAAGCAATGACCAGTATAACTAGCAGGATTTGGAAATTTGAGATATTGCGCAATTAATTTTGGTAAAGAACCAAATATATTGATTCCAGCAGGTTGCGTACTACATTTATTATTAGTGTATTTCACAAAGAAACGTTCGTTTTACGATTTGTGGTCGTAGACTAACATATTTTCGAATTATGCTTACTAAATTCTCTTCGTAATCAGGAATGCTACTGTTCGTTACTACAAACTCCCGCATTACGTTTGTTTTTGTGTTTCAAATTCTAATTTTATAAAAATTTCCTTCGTCTGTAACGTCTCTGGTACTCAACTCAGTTAGTTCAACTTTTCTACAAGCTCAGGCCACTCCAGTAATCATTGCTACCTAAAATATCCCATTTATTGATATGTGATTAAAGTTTCCAATATAATAGCATCAAATTATACCTTTGCAAATAAAAACGTCTTGTTATCACCTCTTTAAGAAAGGTTTCAAAATTTTCTTTTGTAAAAATCATAGATTTTTTAGCGTGATAACCCGCCGATCTTCCTTTCAAATATGCCATTAATGTGGCATGTGAATGTCAACATTTTTTTTAACACTGTTTTGTGCCTTTAACATCGAGTAAGTACTCCACACTGAAGATTCTTTATAATCCTTCATACCTTGACAGTACGCCAATATAACCTTTTGGGAAAGGAATAAATCAACATCGAAATTCAATAATTTAATAAACAATATTTTTAATTCAAAAGGTGATATCGTCCATGTTTAAAATAGAGGTGATGTGTTTTTGAATTCTATATAGCTATAAACCTGTTATTATAAAAACTGTTATAGTTACATTAATTTTTCGAATATTGTTCCTAATTATATTTTTTTATAAAATTTATTTGTAAAAAATCTTTATAAGTACATAGCGTTTCATTATTATTCACTTTCGGAAAATTAAATCTGGCATATGATGACCATTTTCGTTGATACATTGTTGAAGACGTTGAAGAAAATTGGTCTCCAATCTTTCCAGCAAATCGCTATTAATTTGGGTTATTTGCTGACGGATTGCTCTTTCAACTCAACCAATGTACGGGGTTTTTCCTTGTAACTATATTTTTCAGGTACCCCCATAGAAAAAAGTCACATGTAGACAAGTTAGGGCTCCGAGAAGGTCACCAAATCTCGAAATGAGATGATTATGAATCAAGGGTCGAAGAATACCCATTGTTGCTCTGGCGATGTGCGCCGTGGCTCCATCTTGCTCAACCACAAATGCTGACTATCAATATTTCGTCTTTGTAACTCGGGGATGAAAAATCTGTTCACCATGTTAACGTGATGCTGACTTGTAACAATTACGGTAATCCCATTTTCTTCGAAAAAATAGGGACCGATAATGTCGAATTTTCCTATCGGGCACCAAACCGTAACCTTAGGGCTATGCAGCGGTTTCTCATTGAGGTATCAAGGATTTTCCGTAGCCCAATACCGACAATGTTGTTTATACGGCCCCATTACGGTGGAAATGGACCTCATCACTCACTACCACCATGATGTTTTCATTTTGTTAATCAATCTGTTACATTTAGCTTCTGCACTATCGCTATTTTGTAAGGGTGAAATTGTAAGTCTGTATGCAAAATCCATCTTACAATGCGATTACTGATTCCAAGTGTGCAGCAAATACAAAAATCAATTGGATTCAGAGCGGGTGATCGTGGAGGCCAGGCATAGTTACTTCCGCGGCCAATCCACCGATTTGGAAAATTATTATTTAAATAATTACTAACGGTTAAACTAAAATGGGCTGGCGCTCCATCGTGCATAAACCACATTTGTCTTCGTATACCGTAAGGAACTTGATCGAAGAGTTCATTCAAATCATTTAAAATAAAATTCAAATAACTTTCGCCGGTGAACCGCTGCGGCAAAAAATAAGATCCAATTAAATAATTATCAAATATCCCAATCCACACATTCAAAGAAAATTCATATGATGGCGCGTTTCCGTAATTTTGTGTGGATTTTCATTGGCACACCAATGATTATTGTGTAAATTTAATATGGCACTTCTCGTAAAGCTTGACTCATCCGAGAATAAAATATTATTTAAAAATGTCCGGTTTTCAGCAACTTATTAATATGGATGCAGTTGCTGTTCTTTTATAACTCTCCACCCCACGCTATGACTGATATTTAAATTATCAGCAATTTGCCTAGTACTGGCGTCTGGATGCCTATTAATCCAATTTAATACTGCTTCCTCAACGGCAACAGTTCTTACTTCCCGATGCTGCCCGAAATCCGCATTATTTTTTGAAAATGAACCTTTTTCACGTAAACGTTGATGAATAACCCAAAAGGTTTTGTGGTAAGGCGTTGGTCGCATTAGGAACTTTTTCTCGTAGAGCTTCTAAGCTTCACGACCATTACCGTTGGCAAGCCCGTATACAAAGTGCATATCAACCATTTCCGAATCAGAATATTGTTGCATATTTCAGATTCAAAATTATTGGTGTCACAGAACATTACATTCATTACACAAGTCACATAAAATACAAACAAATATACAACAATAACATACATATATGTATAATAAAATTAAAATTAAAATACAATGTCTTTGCACAAGCTCAACAAATCTTAATTAGTTATGTAAAGTCCAAGTCTTCTTATTTGGTAAATTTGCTCGATTAATTACTCAAAACACTTAAACTCCTAGTAACACACTCAAAAAATACTGAAAGTTAAATGTCAAAAAAAATTAGACAAAAAACTTCCAAAGCCTACTAAGCTTTTTTTTTATAACTACATTCCAACTTTTGATCGACAACCCCATTTTTTAACGGGCAGTGTTTGCTTTATTATTTTCTCCTCAAAAAGTAGTCGATTTTCGAAAAATTTTAGACAGACGTTTTAGGATATTTTCATCTACCTATTTAAAATTTTTCTAATGTATTTATCACCTGCATAAAAAAATTTTAGCAAAAATGTAAAGCGGGTTAGGTTGGGTTGGATAGGTTGAAAGTACAAAAGGGTCAAAACGTGCCCTATTATGAGAAATTAAACCAAAATTTTCCGCCATTTTTGGAAGGGCGGAAAATTTTGCAAGTCAACTCCTTAGGCAAGCCGAAGTCGCTAAAGAATCACCTCTTGATGTTTGTTCCAGTCATTCAGATACACCTGTATAATAACTATTTGATCGCTCCTAAACCATTATCTTAACTAAACCATCCGCTAGATGGCATTTCCATATTATTAATAAATGTATATAATCTAACACGTCTCAATAATTTATGGGCGTGTTTTCACTTTGAAGTTGGAGAGTGTTGGTTTTTCTATCTTGAGGGCGTTATAACGCTCTCATGTATTTTCGTATATGGTCTATAAATTTTCGAATACATTGAGAATTTTTGCTTACTTTCTCCGTTTCAAATAACAATTGAACATAATTTTGAACAAGTACCCGCGGATTATCGAAACGACGTCATAATTTGAAATTGTTATTTTCCAAACTGGATATAACTTGGCGATCATCGCCATTTAAAGCAGATA